TATATATATATATATATATATATATATATATATATATATATATATATATATATATATATATATATATATATATATATATATATATATATATATATAATATAGATAAAGTTATATTCTCTCCCTATCCATTCCTTTAGCTCTAGTTGAAAGAAGTAAAACTGAAGATAATTAATCAGCGAGGACTTAGTAATTTTTCAGAGGATAGACTGTCAAAAACCAGTAGATGTTTTACCCTACATTGATAAGCTAATCAAGAGGATCTATCTAAAGATACAATTTTTAATAGTAATATAAAGATACGACTTAATCATCTCAATTCCATATATTAGATGGTCAAGACATTTTATCCCCAATGGGATGCCCTCAGGTCGAATTTTACATCACACAAGCTGTGTATTTTCTCACCATTATGGTGGATGGTACTCCTTCATGTGGTTTGTAGGCTTAATTATGCTTGATGGGTCATGTATCCTACTTGTGATGTTGGATGCGTTACGAGTACTTGTAGCCTTTAATACAGAACCATCTGACCTTTCCTCAAAACGAAAAAAGTCAAAAACACATGACTTTTCTTCTTTAAAAGGAAGAATAATCACCCCATATGATGGATACTCACCCCATAAGAATCCTATAAAGGAAGAATATTTAAAAGCTGTGGAGGACAATAAAGCATTTTGCTGATTATGACGACAAGCTGTTTTATAGGTTCCTTAAAAAGATAGATTCTTCAAGGATATTAACCCGTTGCTCTCACCTCATGCACTTTTCTTCTTTTGACATTCTCTGTCATATTCCACATCCATATGGTGTTGGATGTACAATTTGATCTTATTATACTCCACCTCCAGGACCATAATCCAAAGATAAGTAAAACTTACATTGCTGTAGAATTTCTTGAGCTATCTTGTTTCGGTTGCAGTGTTCACCCTAGGGTATAAAGCAGTGATTTTTAGGGTAACCTGTCCATGTAAGCATGTAACAAGGAAGAGCCAATCCACCTAACGTGCAAATCCGCCAGAGGATTTGCTGTGGTATGGTGACAAATTTGCACTTTCTACAAGGAACATAAATTTTGGATGGTTGGATCAGTTTTTTCACATGCAAGCGACAACGTCTAAAGAAAGCAGTAATGGAAGGGTAATGTGACAATGATGCGAGTGAGAAAACAAGGGTAGGACGCTAGCAAAGCAAGAGACTGACCTAATGGGGTCGTAGACGGCGTTGGGGAAGAAGAGCACCGGCAGGGAGGTGGCGGAGAAGTAGAGATGGGCGGCGAGGGCCGCGAAGGCGCCGTCCGGGCACGGGTAGTGGTAGAGCACGGCCGACTTCTTTAGCGCGCTTTTCATGCCGCGGCCGGGAGACTGGCTCGAGAGGAGAGAATATGACGAGCGGCGGAGCGCTGAGGCAGCGACGGTGGCGGCGGATTGCATCAAAGAGAACGGGTGCGATTTGGGACCGGAATTGTATGGGCTCGGAACCGATATATGAGTACTGTATCGCTATTTTATATCGTGCAAAACACCGTTATAAGAGGAAGAAAACGAATTAATGGTCATTCTACAAAGAACCCAATAAAAAAAAGATGTTAAAAAATCAATAAATAAATAATGATATCATCTCTCTAAATAAAAAAAATATTTAGATAAATAATAATAGCATCTCTCTGATTTATCGTTCATAAGTCTTTGAGGAGACATCATAAGATATCAAAAGTTCGAGTTTGCTGTAAGAGCGAATGGTAGAGTAAGTTGTCTACCGTTGTCTCAAACCATTCAGTGGAAATCAAACCACGCGACCAAAGAGACATTCTGGTGCATATGATGCCAATACAAGACTTCACTCTGACCAAAGAAACATACGAATACCATTACCAAGAGAATTCATATGTTCAGTTTGATCTAAGTTCCATTACAGAGCCACAGACAATTGCAATGTAATCAGTATTCAGATGGTGTGACTAAAGAAAAGCAACCATTAGGTGATGATGCATCAAAATCATTCAATCAAAAACCAGTCCTAAAAGTAATCATCATTTTCTGTTTGAGTCCCACCAGCTAGTTTCAGTTTCCCATTCCCAGAGTTCCCTTTCCCTGCATGATAGAAAGATAGATTTAGGAGTCAATACTGTAAATGACAAGAAGGTAAATTCCACAGGCAAAGAAAAGTAGGATGCAGCAACAGAGTACTGGGTAACATAAATTACCCTTCCTGATAAACGAGCAAAACATCTCTATTTGGTGTATATAACAAGTCATACATGTCAACTTCTGTCTGTGACAGAAAATAAATAGACCAATCAAATGTTGGCAGAGGTTATCCTGAAACAACACACATACAACATAATAATTCTTTATAATTAGTAACAATATGTGCTAGAAAATGTTATGTAACTAACATTTCATATTAGAACTCAAAATCACTTTCATATATGATAACCAAAATCATATAGAAGATTTTCTCACATCTGCATAATGGCTGGAAGGCTGCTGCTGTCCCTTAAGATTGCTGGTGTCTTTGGCCACTTGTTAGCTTAGCAGGCTCATTTCTTTCATCCATGAATTGCCTAATCTTTACTTCAAAGAAAATGCATTCATGATTGGTAAGATTATTCTCAAAGAACTGAAACACTAGTTTTCCTGTCATCATTACCTTATGTGCACATCTTTGATGGTAGAATCCCCTGTACCTTTTCCTTGGACACGGCATCCTTCATCATCAGGGAATCGCACAAACGGTTCAAGTCTTCCAATGATTCGGGCGGCATCTCTGCGTTGTCACCGAGCCGCGTCCTTGATGCCCGAGCGCTCAACATGGCTTTGCTCTATAATCACCACAAGATGATCAGAGACCCACCAGAAGAACGAAAAACCAAGACAAACACAAACCTTGCATGTCCTCAAGCGGATCTTCATCAAAAAGGCCATATTTTGAAGCTCCAAGTTCTGGTCCTTGAGGCGGCGCCATCCTTCCTCGCACTCTTCGAGCTGCCTCCGCAGTCTTTCCTCAGCAGAGGTCTCTTCTAATTTGGCGGAAGCTTGTCCTTCCTTCAGCGCGACGAGGTCATCGTTCGCGGCGGCCATCTTCGCGCCGAACAATGCCGGCAAGAAGGAGGGGGCTCGGCTGGACTCCCCAGCTCTCCTGGGCGGCTGTGCAGGGAGCTCGATAGAACTTCTGCTGAACCCTGGAGACGAACCTGCATAAAAATGCAGCGCTAAGCCCGGGGGACTTCTGATGGAGAACGATGGCCTCTTGGTTTTCCGAAGCCATGTCGAAGGATGGAGAAACCTGAGATTGATGGAACCAAGAAAGAGGAGAGGGGAGAGGAAGAGGAAGGCGGCAGTTAAAGAAGGCTGGGGAGGGAAGACAGGGAGAGTAACGAACTCTTGAAACAAGTGCCAGGTGTACATGGATCTCATCCTTAACTAGATTTGATTCAGGGGTGAGGTCCGGTTTGGCACTTCCAATCCTGCATCTTATGTGCAATTATTTTATCTGAAATCCCATGGCATAATGCCGATACATCGTGTGATAGAATAATACTTGCAAATATCTTGTTGTGCGGTTCTTTTTGTTTATGCATCGCATTAGCACCTCAAGCTTTAACATCAAATATTTTGTTTATTTTAGTTAGCTATGTTGTTCTTAATATGAAATGAACTCTCAATCGAGAGAGGTTTTGATGCTATTCTGTATGGCAAAATCGAGTGGAATTAGAAGAAAAAACAGGGGGAAAAATTAATGTATTGGAATTACGTCGTTTCATGTTTTGTTTTGTATTTAGATTGACGTGGAGGTTGCTTGCTGCATGAAGAAGGAAGCCATCGTTGCAGTCCATGGTGGTATTTGTACGTTGGTGAACTCGTTAGACTGTTCATGGCCGGCTTCGGAGAGGAGAAAGGAATCATCAGAAAAGCATAAAGCGATGGTCGTGTCATCTCCCCACTCTTGCTTCCTTTTTGCTTTCCATCGTGCCTTTGCTGTTCTCTCTCTCTTGACTTGACTTTGCTATGGTCTCTCTCTCTCTCTCTCTCTCTCTCTCACTCTCAGAGTCTACATCGGAAATCAAAAGCTATAAATGCTTCGTAATCCCGACGTACGACCCTTCAAATCACTGGTTAACTCAACTCTTTCGGCCCGCTGCGAAAGGCTTTCCTTGAGCCCGAAGAAACGATCCCATTTAGCTTTCAGAGCACTTCTTTCGTTGCCGTGGCATGTTATTTTGCATTTGGACGTCGGAGAACTATACGGTTGAAGTTTTGGAGCGCACGCAGAGGCGAGGGAGTGAGAGATATGGAGGAACGAGGGGAGGGCGGGGGCGAAGGACGACCGAGGCCACCTCGAGGAGACCTCGGCGACATCGTGCTTTCTTGGTCGCTGGGTCAGATTTTCGATGAGAACCTCTTCCAGAACCAGGTTTTTGTCGCCCGTTCCGCTGCCGGACGGTAGCATACGAGCCTGTTTATCGTCGTCTTTGATGGGTTTATTGTGCCGCTCTGGTTCCATTTGCATGTTCAATAGGCGACAGATGCGAAACTACATGCATAACATGGGATCAAAATTCATCTGCTACAATGTTAATTTTGCAGCGTTAGATTTTATATGGCTATTCCTTTTTTCCTTTCTTCGTGTGAGGCCACACTTCATGGAGAGCCTTTCGTTGTGACTTGGTAAAATGAAAGGTGGACTCTTTTCGCTTCAAGAACGATCAGCAAGAGTAGAATTATAGCCTTTTTAACTGAAGCACAATGACACAGCTTTCTTTTCTCCTCTTGTGATTCTTGAGCTTCATGTATGCCTCTACGTTTCCTTTCTCACTAAGCATGGATTTGGAAAACTTGTTGTGTTATTAGATTGTTTGCAACTGTTATCTTGGGGAGTAAACATGACTATCTTGATTCAATGTGTTTTTTGTTAGATTCTTTTTTCTGCTTAAGCTCTTCAATTATAAGTTTCAAGTTTCCTTGTGCTGCCACTAGAATTGGTCTTAGGTTCCACATAAACTTTGCAGGTAGCTTGACATCTCAGTAAAACTGTTGCAGCACAAGATGATCATAAAAATCAAGATTTTGTGTGTAAAATCTCAAGTCGAAAATAACATGAATGGAATTTTTATTGTTCATGCCTATCAGGATCTGGAAGTTTTCCTTGATGGACTAATTTTGACATATTTATAATTGGAATTTATGTTTTTTCTCCAGCAGTCGTGATGTTATTTTTTGTTATAATTAAAATTTTATCTGGTCTATTTTGTCCAATTAAGATAGTAAACTTGACTCTTTTTAGTAGTTAGAAGTCATTGCCTTTGTCCAATTAAGAAAAAAATGTGTATCATAAGCTTCAGTAACTTTTCTTGTTTATCTTCTGCTGTAGGTGGTGAAGATACCATCTCTGTTTCTATCAATTGAACATTATTTTGGATCTTTTGCTGCTCCTTTGATGGAAGAGACACATGCAGAAATACACTCTTCTTTGGTTGATATTTCAAAAGCTCCTCGAGCAAAGATACTCGCCATAGAAAACGGACAGAGAAAATCCGAAACTACTCAGGAGTATTATATTGACGTTGAATTTCTCAACAATCACATAGATTGTGGAAGTCAAAATTATAAGGCACGGAATGGTGATCTTTTCATTCTATCAAGTATGAAGCCAGAGGATGTCAGGGATTTCAATAGATACAATGTTGCTTGTTGCTTAGCGTTGGTTACCGAGGTTTCAATGGATGATGATGTTCAGAAGGGTTTTGTTGTGAAATTACATAAGTTCACTGATGTGGAATATGATATGGGTAACTTCAAATTTGCATTATTTCTGACTAACTTATTGACAAATATTCGGATATGGAAAGCACTTTGTTTCACATCAGGAATGAATAACAACATGAGGATCATCAATGAAGTTCTGTCACCCAGGCCAACGGTAAAGATGACCATGTTTTCAAGTTTCTTTTGTCATTTATTTTCTTATGTACTTCTATGCATTTTATCTGCACTTAAAGCATTTAGTAACTGTTACATTTGTCCTTACTAGATGACGATAGATATATTTCTTCCTATTTCCTTGCAGGTGACTGCCACATGTAACACTAGTTTATCTGGAGCGAATGACTATTGGTTTACTAAATTATTGGATAAATTATGTTCATTTGATCTGAATCTGTCACAAATAGAAGCTGTACGGGCTGCAATTCATGCAACAGGATGCAGAGATTCACACTGTGTGGAACTTGTATGGGGCCCTCCAGGAACAGGGAAGACAAAGACAGTTAGTGCTATGCTGTGGGCATTCTTGCATATGAAATGCAGAACCCTTACCTGTGCTCCAACAAATGTTGCAGTAGTTGGGGTCTGTTCTCGTCTACTTCAGCTGATCAAAAACACTGATGAAAAGGATAAACTACATGGGCTGCCATCTTCCCTTGGGGATGTACTTCTCTTTGGAAACAGTGAGCGTATGGAAATAGATGATGAGCTC